CATTTCACGCCCATTAAGATGGTTGTAACTTTTAAAAGACAGATAATTAGCATGTGGGGAAATTGGGTCCCTTGTACATGGTAAGCATATTTTCCTTTAACAAGGTCAATGTATTAAGTTTAACAATGAAAGATTTTAGAAGAATACTCTCCTGAAATATTTTCCCCCTTTAGGGGAAAAAAAGGAAAGAAAAATCAAAGTCCTCTCAGCACAGCAACAATGTTGTAACAGTCAAATCTCTCAGCAGAAGTGATAGACCATCTGTTGAATCACACCTTAGATCAGCAAGAATGAACTTTGGATTTTCCTCAGTCCCCTTTAGCTCCCAGTTATCTATTTTCTGGAGCAAAGATTTATCTACCTGCTCATTTTCTTCATCCTCTAAGAACTAGATTTGTCAAGATTATGATATATGTCGTATTTTCCACTACTGGACTATTTCCAACTTACTTTAGTGATTTTTTTTTCTTTCATCCACCTTTTTAATTTCTAAGAGTTCTGTAAGAAACTTGGCATTCCAGTTTAAGAAACTCTATCACAACAGCTGTGCTACGAAACAATTGATTTTTTTTTTTGTATCTTCTTATTCTTTTTTAAATTTATTCTATCTTGTAGGGTTCTTTTTGAGATATTTTTTGGGGGATCCGGTCATGGGGCCTGAACTCTGGACTTGGGTGCTGTGCTTCAGCTCAAGGCTAGCGCTTTACCACTTGAGCCACAGCGCCACTTCGGCTTTTTTCTTTTTGCTTATGTGGTGCTGAGGAATCGAACCCAGGGCCTCAGGCATGCAAGGCAAACGCTCTACCATTGAGCCACCTTCCTAGCCCAAAATTTTATTTTTATAAAGAGAGGCTTTCTATGGCTATTTCTCCACTGTACATAAAGTTGAGAGCAGTCTGGACATCCCATCATATTATCAGAGCTTGATTAAGTGAAGCATTAATGAAGAAGAATGAGAAATCAGGAGAGTCCCTTTATGTTTAGGAACGCTCATTCTCAGAAAGATTGGATAATGGATAATGGGCAGTCAAGCATGGCTGAGTCAGGGTTGACGACTCCGGAGCTTCCAGCTCATTTGTGCTGCTCTTCGCTGTAATTTGTCATCAGGTCCTTGCTGCCACCCATGGGCCATTCAGACATCCACAGAGTACACTGCAGCTGAGACCTAGGCTGCCCCAGCTGCTGGACGGATGAAGTAGCAGGAGTCTAGCAGTGAGACCTTTTTTTTTTTTTTAAGATAGTTCAGTTGGTTTGGAAAACAGTCTGACATTTTTGTCAGTTAAGCCCAGAGTTCTCACATGACCCAGAAACTAGTCCTTGTTTTACATCTAAGAGAAATGAAAAGATGCTGAGAAAAATAGCAGAGTTATTTGTTATGATAAGTAAAAGAAATAGTCACAAAAGACCACATGTTGTTGGATTTCATTTATATGAAATTCAGAATAGGTGAGTTTATGCATACAGGTATGAGTGATTGCTGAGATCTGGTCTTTGGGGTGGGAGTAAGGTAGGACGTGATTGCTCCTGGACTTGGAGTTCCTTTTTGAAATTTTGAAAATAGTTTAGATTGCTCGTGGTTCTAGTTCCATAACTCTATTGTCTAGGGACAAAAAAAATAGATGCTTTTAATGTCCTCCAGAAGGAATGGGAAGAAGAGAGCTTACTGCTTTCCAATGAACTTAGCTTTGCCTAAATTTGTGCAGTCAAATCAAATGACAATGTTTTTTATACAACAATCACTCTCCATGGATGGAAGGAGTGTAGTGTGGTCTGACCAAGTTGTATGATGCTTTTGAGTGCTGTGGTTGCTGTCTTAGACACCAGCCTACAGCCTCTATAAATTCATTTTAATCTAAATTCTTGTGCTTCAGAAGGAAATGGAATAGTCTTTCATATTTAATTCAAGAGATTCCACACATTGTGGAAAAGTGAAAATCATGTGGCAACATGATCTCAGTGTTACCTAGAAATTGGGTGAACCAATTCCACAGGCAGTAAGTTTTGAGAAACTTGAAGCATAGACTCCCAGCTTAGCCAAACACTCACCTTTCTTCTAAGAAGGCTCAAAAGTAGGACCTTGATGTGGGTGTTGGTAAGCTTAAATGTAGGAAAAATGGCTAAGTCCTCTTTCCTGTGGAATGTGGCCAATAACAATTGCTCAACGCTCTAAGCATTTATTGGTTATCACACAGTACATACTATTTACCATTTCTAAAATTCTAAGTTGAAACAGTGTGCATATATGTGTGCATGTGCCTTAAGTACTTAAAAGAACTTTTAGTTATTTACATAAAGTCTCCCTTTCAGAATATAGAATACAGAAGTTAGAAGTGGAAACATCCAATAGTTATTCAATATATGTATCATGATGTATCTGATAATCACAGAATATTTCTCTTTAAGTAACTGAAATACCAATGACTCCTCAGTCTATACAAATATAAACACCAAGATAGAGCTTTGAACATTATGTCATTATTATGTCATTACCTGGAAGTAATTTGATATGTGCTATTATCCTCATAATATAGTTTACATGTTTGAGCCATTTAGTGTTCCCTTAAGGTCTACACAAAGGCACAACAAAAACCTTCAGATTATAGGCAAGGAACTAGAGATGGAAAGAAACTGTAATATTGAGTCTAGAAAGGATTCACCTAGTTTAAAGTTTGTTACTCATGGTACTTTCCCCACATGCCTCCACCCACATTTTCCCAGTGATACAGGTTGATTGAAGAAGCTAATCCTAAATAAATGCTTCTCAGCAGATTTTTTAAAACTTTTTTTTTTTGGTGAACATTACTTCACCAAAATAAAGAAAAATAAAGCTGAAAACAAAACCTGGCAGTTCTTTTGTCTCAAATCTTTTCTATGAGAATTTCTTAGAAATGCCAACTCTATTTTATCTCAAAAGTATTCAAACCTTGGAAGTCTATTTCTGACTATGTGTTATGCCATAAACCTCCCAGTTAGCGGAGCTTTGGCAGCTGAAAGACATTCAAGTGTAAAATAATACAAGTATTAAATCATTTATTTAAAATCATAAAATATTTCTTCTCCCAAATAATTTGTATATGTCCTTTCCTTCTTCTTCTTCTTTCTGTTCTTCCCTTCCTCTTCTTACTGTGCTTAGGCTTTACATATGTTAGGCAAGTGCTCTACCACTACATTTTCATGCCATTATGCTTCTTTCCAGCTGACCAAAATAATACACTTTTATTAAAATAAAACTGTCAATTTCCTCTAATGAGAAAAATAGATTTTCTAAATATATTTTACTGGCCATTTCCTGTACATAGTCTCAAATGACAGTATCCATCAATATCTGATGAAATATGGAAAATAATTACGATCAAGCCTTCACACCTAGTATTTACTTAATTGTAAGAAGCTTGCTTAGGTATTCCAGGTTTTTAAGAAAAACTTTCATTAGTGTTTCTCAGAGAAACAAATTAACACACTGCAAATTATCCTGTATGCAACTCTTACCGTATTTCTCAAATATTCAGTATCTTAATAGCCAGTTAAACTTATATGATTAACGTCAAGATCATAGGATCTTGGTTCATTGATAATAACACTAAGAAATTTCCATCTGGTGTTTTTGATGCTTTAGCATGCTCTAAACAATAGATCTGGGGAAAATTCAGCAATACTCATGATTATTATGTGACTGGATTAAACTCCAGGAGAGATAGTAGTGTAATATCCATTTTAGTGGTTTCTTAAGTATGGATTAAGAAATTTTTATTGTGCATTTAGCAGACCCATTTTATCTAACTTACTGTCATCTTTGGAATATCAATGTACTAGTAGAACAAAAGATTAGGCTGAACCTGAGATATTTCATTTTAGCATTTATCAGGAGCACCTGAATGGTGCTGAAGTTGGTCTTCTAATCTATACCTGGGCAGGTAGGAAATCCTCAGTACCTCCCATGCTCACCTTTGCTACACAAGACAGAGCAGAGCAGGTAAACCAATTTCCTCTACTACAGGTGGGAACAGTAACCTTAGATTTCAATTTAGGAGCCAATCAAGCGCACACTTGTTTGAAAAGATGGGCCTAAGGCAAATCACTTCCCTCTTTGGTAAATATCTTCTGCAGCAAAGGAAAAAGCAGCCGTAGGCATCTTGGAACATCTAACTTCTCCAATAAAAATTCATTACCCAGTCTACTTGTAATAGCTGGCTTTTGTTTGTTTCTATTCCCTTTTTCTGTTTCTGGAAGGAAACCTTAGGTGCTTTGGGCCTGCCTGTTGATAATCCTACTTGCCTTCAGGGCTGATGGGATGTCTGGAAACATTTTATTTTTATTTTTTTCTTTTTCCGGACAACTCCTTCCACTATTTTTCAGCTCCCGTTCTAGAAACAGCTTGAAAATACAGCATTTAAACTGGAGATTGCCGATTTCCTGTCTCCATTGGCTATCAACACCCATCTCCACCGCTTCCCGCTCCCTAGCGGACTGTTGCCCCGGGGTCTCCGGCTTCCTCCCCCGGAAGCCCAGCCGGGGTGTCAGGTCTTGAGTCGGGAGGGCAGCTGGCTTCCCCGGTGACCCCCCCGCAGCTGGGGGCGGGAGGGGGGCTTCTACCTGCGGATCCCCACTTGTGTCCTCCTCCCCCAAGGGAAGGGAAGATGCCCGGGATCTGGCACCTTCCTTAGTCGGAGCCTGCCGTTATTAACCGGTCGGGGACGGACCTGCGCTGAGCAGGACGCAGCAGGCCATTTTCACCTGCGTAGTCGCGGGCTTGGGAGAAGCGAGGCAGCCGCGGGGGACCGGGATAGGGGAGGAGCGCGGGCCGCGGCCTCGGCGGGCGGGGAGGAGGGAGAGGAGGCGGAGCTCGGGCGCCGGGGATCGGCGGGGAGAGGCGAGCAGCGGCTCGGCCTGACTTGCAGCAGCGGCGGCCGCGGCTCCGACGCTCCGCAGCCTCCCCGGAGCCCGGAGTTCCCGGAGCGGACCTAGCCCGGAGCGCCCGCCCGTCCGTCCCCACGCCCGCCCGCCCGCACGCCCGCCACCGCCTGCCGGCCCCGCCGAGCAGCCATGGCCGCGCCGCGGGAGCTGCCAGACGAGCTGCTGCCTCGGGCCAGCCCCGGGTCCCAGTGGTTCGGGGATCGGGAGGAAGGGGAGGACCCGGCGGAGATGCTGCGAGGGGCCAGGCCCGAGCCGCCGGAGGGGGACCCCGGCTGGGGCTCGGGCACCGGGGCGCCGCGGGAGCAGGGCGCGGGCCCCGCCCGGCCGCCGCCCGTTGCCATGGAAACTGCATCCACAGGTAAGGCGGGTCTGCGGGCGCCGCTGCCCCCCGCCCACCCCCTCGCGGGCCCCCGTGGCGGCAGCTCGCCCCGGCACCCTCCCCGGGCCCCAGCCTGGGAATGTGAGCGGACCGGTCGAAAACAGCAATTTTCCGTTCTCTTTTTCATCCCCGAAAACTCAGAAGAGGCACCGCAGGCTCTTGATCCTTCTGATTTCTTTACCACTCTTATTTCGGCCCTAAGAATTGTCCCCCGTGGGCAAACCGCAGCCTCCTGGCCGCTGGGGCGCCCGCGTACAAGTTTCTCTTGGCTGTCGGGGAGACTCGGAGCTGGAGGGCCGGGGTGACAGGTTGTGATGGTTTTCTGGAACGTGCTTGTGCGCGCGCGCGCGCGCGCCGGCGACGGGACACGGTGACCCAGCGGCGGGCGGCCAGCGGCCCCGGCACCCGGGGATCTAGGTCCCGGGCAGCCCTGTGACTTTAGCTCCCTTCCCTCCAGACAGCGCCCCATAGGGCTCCCTGCCAGTCCCCCCCTCCAGCTCCCTTCCCCCTCTCCCGCCTAGAACGCAAGTCCATCGGAGTGGGAGACTGATTGTTGCCAGCAAGTTGTTGTGGGTTGTTGTGGCTGCCTGCGTTCCGAACCTCTTATTTTCCCCTAGCTAGCCCGTGGCCTCCATGGTGCTGGGAGCATTGAAACTTGGAACCCCGAAATGCGGCAGTCCTGGCCGCGAATTGGAGGACTTGGATGGTGGCCAGTGGAGGAGGCACATCTGATGGCAGTAAAATAAACCCAGAAATGGTCCTGGATTCAGGCCCACACCCCCATTTGCCTGATACCCTTCTTGGCATCCAGAGCACACTGGTGCCTAGCTTGACCCTGGGGACCCTGCGCTTGTGGGCCGAGGGGCTGCCAGCCTGATCAGCGCCCTTTCCCCTCCAGAGATGGAGAGGGTGGTGTGTTGCGCTGTTCTCCGAGAAAGCTTTGCTTTGGTGGAGTGGGAGTTGTGTAGTTTTGGCAATGCAGCGCTAGAAGGCCTGGGAGGTGGGTGCTCCAGGGGGAGGGGGGCGGGACTGGCATATGTGAGCTTGGCAGCCGAATTAGGGAAACCCCTTTCTAAAGCCACCCCCTCTGTGAAGGATTCTGTGGAGTGCCTTAGGTTGTCCTAACCCTGCTCCAGCACAAAAGATTTGACACGAGGGAAAGAGGGTTAGAGATTTCGGTGAATTAAAACTTGTTTAATATCCTGAAGGGAAAAAGTAGGATGACGAAGGAGGAGGAGAAAAGTAAAACACACACACGCACACACACACACACACACACACACACACACACACACACACACACACAAAGGGAAAAAGAAGGCAAAGACCTTATAGCTGAAAACCTCACGTGACATACATTATTAGGAGGGGAGAGTGTGTGAGGGTCGGGATAAAGGCAAAATAAAAATAACTGTCAAAGCAGTGGAAAGTGATAATTAACAACTGAAAGTAGTTTATGTCTTTAGCCTTCTTTGTTAAGAGTAGTTCACAATTCAGAACATTTATTCACCATATTCAAATAATTTCCTCATCAACCTTATCTGCCCCCCCACCCCCCAGCAGTGTCACCAAAGGTAGGTAAACCAAGGAAAGGAAAAGAATGGAAACTAAGTGTCCTGTGGTCAGTAACATACTCATTCCATAGAAAATGCTAAGGACATATATATGATACAATGTGATGTTTTAATATAGTCTACATTGTAGGAATCATTAAATCAAGGTAATAAACATTGCTAATTATATTTTTGGTGAACTATCTAGACTCTACTGTACAATTTATGAAAGAGTGACTAGAAAATCTAAGAGTGCATTTTCCACTTTTGACATCTTTACTATAAAAATATTTTGTTTTGTTGAATACATTAGGGGTTGCTTAGGCCACACATACACTAATAAAATCAAACATGATTCTAAGCTTTGGTGGGAAGAAAACAAGGAAAGTAGAAAGAACATATATTTCGCATATTTACATGGAAATGTTTTCATTTATGATTGCTGCTTGAAACAGTAATAGCTGTCCATAGGTTAAGGCTTTCACTTGGTAAATTCTCTACTGATAGACCGGCTGGCCTGTTACATGAATAAATAAATTACCACAAATTGAAAACTCCAAATCAAATCTGGGCCAGCTTCCTTAACTGCTATCTTGGTAGTATTATGACAGAAAACAAATCAGCCGGTGAATCCACAACTGTATCAGAGACAAAGTCAAAGAAAGCCAACGAAGCACATTGCCTTTCTTGGCTTTTCAAAAAGTCACTTTATTACTGATTTATAACTAGAAATTAATTCTCAGTTCTAGAGACTGAGAAGGCTAAGATCAAGGTGGCAGCAGTTCAATATCTGGTGTGGTCTGCTTTCTGATGCACAGTTTTCTGCCTTTTTGCTGTGTCCTCACGTGGCAGAAAGCCATTGTGAGACTCCGTGATGACTAAGAAGTACACTGAGTGTGAAGTGCTGTAAACAGATTTTGTTTCTTTCTCAGATGAATATTAAAATGGAAGACAGATATTGATGTCTCCAAACCTTTTTTTTTCCTGAAAGAAATACCACCAATTATGCCATCTGGACAGAAATTCTGTTATTTTTATACATGGATGATAATTAAAGTTACCGAAGAAATATTTCCAAAAATATTTCTCAGCCATATCCTGGAATGAATATATGTTTCCGTGTCATTAAAACTACACTGTCATAGCCTCTCTGTACTGTCTTTTCAGTTATGGTCATTGTTCTTGTCCCTTTTGTGGCACAGAAACATATTTTGAACAGAAGTAACACTGTCTTCTTGAGCTACAGTTTTCATGACTGAAGCTGATTTCTATGGCCAAGAATCATTGAATTGCTATGTGTAGGTTAGAGCTGTTAATCATGAAACTGTGCCATCATCTAATAATATTAGACAAAAGAGGTTAACAGTAACTGCTTTGGTGTTTTTTTTTTTTTCATGATCATTATTTTATTGCTGGAAACTACTCAACACAAGCATACAATAACAGAAGGATAGAAGAATGGCCCTTTGTTTAAAGAGAGAATTTAAAACAGAGCATTTGAACAAAATGAAATGGTGAGAAGTTAACTCATTATCTGCCTTGGAAGTTAACTCATTGACTACTTCATGCACGAAAGGCAAAGGAACAGAATGGAGAAGGGTCAGGAGAAATCGTAATAATATTGAATTTTAGATCATTTGACTTTAACTTATATATGAAGAGTTGCAGAAAAAGAAGAGATTTTTCTAATTTATATTAGTTGAACCAATGAACTAATAAATTTGTATTTTTCAAATGCTAAATGTCATAATCAAACAGAAAACTTATTCTTGATCTATCAGGATTTGAATAACCTTAAAATGTTGGATTTGTCTTATATTTATTCTGTTTCATATAATCAATCTAGAGATTGATTACTAGTCATTATTTTCATCCAGATACTGGCTTGGCTTTCTTCACTTTGCGATGTGTTTGATAGAAACTTTTTAATTTGGGATTATTTCCAGTAATCCTTAGAAAGTATAAATCTCAATCATCTGTTTTCATCCATCTTTTAAAAGAGCTACAGTGTTATTGAAATGAGAAGGGCTACTCTATTTTGCTTTTATAATCTACTAAAGAACAAAAGGGAATAAAAGAGTTTGGAAGCCTAATACAATTTCTTTCTCTGGATATAACCTATATACGCAGTAACATTTCTGGCAGTAAGTATAGCATCTGACCCTTAACATAGAATATTCAATTTAGATTAAAATTTAGAAACACTTACATGCTTTTAAAAGACATTGAAATATAGATATTATTAAGGTTCCCAGCCTAACTTTCTATTCTCAACTGTCTGTTCCAGGAAACTCATTGTGCTCCAATACCACCCATAGGTTTTACTGCCCCCCACCTTATGTCTTCTCTATGGACTTCGTTTCTGAGAGATTTAGGGCAAGTTGTTACTATTTTGCTCATAATGCTACCTATCCCTGGAAGTATGGGTTACAGAAAGTTTTTATTATCTATACATTGAGAAAGCATGGTGGTTCAAGTTAGTAAACACTTATTGAATATCTCCATTGTGTAATGATCTTTGCTAAGCACAGATCATGGGCTCCTGCAATATGTGTACCATCTTGTTCACATTATAAATACTAAATACGTATAGCCAAACATTTTCTTTTGTGTCAGCTTTTTATTTTCCTCATTCACAAGTCATTGCTGGAAACTTGACTAAGGGGAGATTTATAATTATCCAAGCCTATGGGTACAAGGGCATGAATTAGTTTTCTGAGGTCAGCACAGGAGAAAAAAATTATTAGCTTGTTCAGACTACATGCCTGCGGAAAATGAACCCTCCTGTTTCTTATTGTGTTTTTCTATCATCTATGTGATTCTTTGCTTCTTCAGCGAAATAACTAGCTGGCCATTACTCTAAGATCTTTGTAAATTATGATTTAATTTTACAATTCAAGTAAGTTATGCCATCAATGACTAAGGGAGATTTAAAAAAGGGAATGGAAACTTTAGAGACAATGAAAAGATGTATTTCAAGAGACTAAGATATCTACACATGAATGCATTCCATTAAAGTCATTGTAAAGAACATGATCAAGGGGAAAAAAAGAAAGACAACCAACTGGTTTGAAAAGAAAGACAACCAATTGGTTTGATGTGTTGGGCTACTGTTGGAGGGCAGGAGAATGGGGAGAGCATGAGCCAGAGCCCATTGTGTAGAAGATGCTGGGCTGAGAGCAAATGAGAAAAGAGAGGGAAAAGCTGCTCCATTTATATTTGACCATTATAATTTCAAATGGACAGGTTGGAAAAACTAAAACATTCAGGAGTGACTGGAAGGCCAGGAGAAGTAAACAGAAGATCATGTTCTAGATGACTACTTTAGTGAGATCGGTTCTTCAGCTCTTTACTTCTCATGGTATTGAATGAGTGTGCTGGGAAGTTTCCAAGTCATTCCTAGTATGTTTTGAGAATAAGACAAAT